TTTTAAGATTCTCTCTTTGTCTTTTGCTCTTGGCATTTTAATTATGATGTGTCTTGGTGTGGTCCTCTTTGGATTCCTTTTGTTTGGGGTTCTCTGCGCTTCCTGGACTTGGAAGTCTATTTCTTTCACCAGGTGGGGGAAGTTTTCTGTCATTATTTCTTCAAATAGGTTTTCAATATCTTGCCCTCTCTCTTCTTCTGGTACCCCTATAATTCTGATGTTGGTACGCTTGAAGTTGTCCCAGAGGCTCCTTACACTATCTTCATATTTTTGGAATCTCTTTTCTTTTTTCTTTTTCAGTTGGGTATTTTTTGTTTCTTTGTATTTCAAATCTTTGACTTGATTTTTGGGATCCTCTTGTCTGCTGTTGGATCTCCGTAGATTATTCTTTATTTCAGTCAGTGTATGCTGAATTTCTAGTTGGTCCTTTTTCATGTCCTCCATGGTCTCACTATACTTATCGAGGGACTCATTAAATTTATCGGCGGTTTCCATAAAATTCTTGAAAAACCTTATAAACGTGGCCTTGAACTCTATATCCAGTCGTTTGCTTTCCTCCATTTCTGCCATTTGTGACCTGTTTCTTTGACTCCGCATTTTGGCTGCTTCCCTGTGTTGATAGAGTGGCTTTGTGTGCTAGGGCCCAGTGGCTCAGCCTCCCCAGTTACCTGAGGTGGACACTCTTGGTGCACCCCCTCGTGGGCTTTGTGCACAGTCTTGTTGTAGCTATGCCTTGGTTGTTGTAGGATCACTGGAAGGAATTGACCTCCAGGGCAATTGGCAGCGAGAATCAGCTGTGTCTGCAGTGGGAGAACTTCTGTGCTGGAGACACCCTTCTGGGGCAAGACTTGCTTCAGTGGGGCTTTGGTGCTCACTGAGACTGCACCCTGAGTGTGTCCCTTATGGATCTGAGGAGTTGTAATCTGGATGGTTCCCCTCTGACCACTGGGTACAGTGGCTCTTGGATCTAAGGAGGTGCTAATTTAGCCTCTGCCTGAGGGTACACAGCAGGAACTAGGAAGAGAACTGCAGATTCCCCTTCCTTTTTTTGGAGATTGGAAGTGCCCTGATGATGCTCAGCTGTGTAGCAATGCAAGCCGCTCTTGGAAGCTCTGGGTCTATCTGGCCCGGCTGTGGTTAGGTAATTACAGGTTGCAAATGGCCGGGGCATTCATATGCAAAAGCCTCTGCCGCAGCCTGGGCGGGGCGGGGTCTCAAGAAATCAAAGGGCGGAGAAAGCAGCTATGGCGGAGCCTCAGCCCTGCCCTAAGGAGTCGCGAGTCCCAGTGTCCCGGCAATGGCTGCAAGCACCTCTGAGGGAAAGCCGCTCTCAAGCTCGCCCGCTGCCAGACAGTCCAGTATCTCCCCGTATGAGTCCTGGGTCCCCAGAGACTTCCCGGAACCGGATTTCAGAGCCGTCGGGAGCTTGTGTCTCCCTCCGGATTCAAAAAGACAGCCGCGTCCTCAGGTGCCAGACCCTTTCCGCGCGAGAGCCCCCGTACCTCTGCACTCCACCTCCGCAGCTCCTCCCGCTCGCAGTGTGCTTTTCTTTCCTTCTAGTTGTAGAATTTACACTCAGCCAGCCCTCCTGTTGTTCTGGATGATGTCCACCTTGTGTTTTTGATGCATTTATCGATTGTTGTGGGAAGCAGCAATTTCCCGGTGTTTATCTATGCCGCCATCTTAGTTTCTCCCTATTCATGTAACTTTTAATGATCAATCAGCAAAGTGTTGGGCACTGCTGAGAGATAAAAAAATACTAGAGCCCTGATGCAAAGGAACTCACCACCTAGTAAACAGACATACAAAGAGGTCGTTTACACTGCAATCAGTGTTTTGTTTGAACACTATTTCTCAAAGTATAATCTGAGGCCTATTTGAAACAGAAATATCTGGTTCTATGGCTAACATGCAGATTCATGGACTCCACTTTGGACCTAACAAATCAGAATTTTTGGGGTAGCGTAAGCAGGTATCTTAGGCATACTAAAATTTGAGAACCACAAAATTAGAGGTATAAAGAGGATGCTTTGAAAACTTAGAGGAAGAAACCCTCAAGTATTTGTCTTACTATTTTTATTAATATATGTATACTTGTCTTATTCTCCTCTTAGATTAAAATAAATTCCCTGAGATCAGGTATTTTACTCCTAGTATTTAAGTAGAATTAAATTGAATACCCTGATAGGGCATTTGTCTGAATAGAGATTCATGAATTTAAAACATTTTATGTTTTAGAAAATATTAAATGTCTATATGTTCTGTATTCTATAGCATGCTCTTCAAACTTGCTAGGTACTTGCTATTGTGGTCAACACCTCCATGAACCCCTTTCTAAAATGTTGCCTTCCCAGACATTGCACTTTTCAAACATTCCTGTTTCCTCTTGTTTGCTTTATGCCAGCTTTATAACCACTAGCTGACACTTTGGACAAGTTACTCATCACTTTGAACCATAGGATTTTTAATGATAAACAAGGATAATGGGGATAAATGGAAAATAATACCTCCCATTCATGTCTATAATCATAACCAAATATAATGACAGTCCTAATTTTCAAATGTTAATTCCCTTCATTAGCTCCTTTCCCCCTTATCACCTCATGAATGTATTCCTAAGGTCTGATCTTGGACCTTTACTCTTTAATCTCACCAGTCTTCCTTGGAAGTCTCATCTAGACCCTTAATTTTACCAATTACTTTTTGCAAGTGGCCCAACATGTCAAAAGAGAATTCTTCACTTTCCTCCTACCAAATCAATTTCCCATCTGCTAAATCACCTAGCTGCAAACTTTCTGTGGGCCTTGAATTCCTTTTCACATTCACTAAGTGGTTAAATTCTGCTGACTATACCCACATAGGGCTAGAAAGAGGATGCTAAGGGGATGATATAGGGTAGTCAGTATAAATTACTAGGGTTCAGAAGTTTGCAAGGTGCATGAAGCAAATCTTTCGCAAAAATTTTTACCAGTCCAGCCGTCATGGGCAACCTCACACATTTTTCTTCTGGCTTGAACCTGTCTTCATCAGCACTGATGCTTCAACTCTTCTTGCCTATCAGTCAGTTCCTTTCTTTACTATCCTAATTTAGGCCCTCACACCTGTTAGGTGGATATTATCACAGCCTCCTACTTGAAAGGAGAAACTAGATAAGGAAGCTATCTTCTAAACCAGAGCTTCCTAATGTGTGGGCCTTTTGATCCCTTTAAGCCAGTGGTTCTCAACCTTCTGGTCCTTTAAATAGAGTTCCTCATGTTGTGACCCAATAATAAAATTATTTTCGTTGCTACTTCATAACTGTAATGTTGCTACTGTCATGAATCATAATGTAAATATCTGATATGCAGGATGGTCTTAGGCGACCCCTGTGAAAGGGTCATTCAACTGCCAAAGGGGTCGCGACCCACAGGTTGAGAACCGCTGCTTTATCTATTGGGATGGCCCAAGGCCCCAGGCCAGTAGCCTCCTGCTCTAAGCAGTTCCCATCCAATTTACGCTAGTGTGAGAAAAATTTTATCATTTTCTGTGTGCTGTGATGGGGGAAAGGTTGGGAAGCACTGCTACTTAATCTTCCTAAATACAGATTTTATTATAGCACATATTGTTCCATAAAACTTTCACAAATGACTCCTCATTGTCTACCAAGTAAAGTCTAAACTGTGATGAAGGCACTGTATACTCTCAGAGCAACCTACCTGTCCAGTTCTGCCTCTCACTAATGCCTTCCACCCCAGCCAATCTGGACCATTCCCCATTCTCTTCTCATCATAACTGTACCCTTCTCTTCACCTAGGGTATTTCCCATATCCTTCACGTGAAATTCACTTGCCTCACTCATCCTTCATGATCCAGGGCCCATGTCACCTGTTTTATAAATACAACGTTCTTATTTCCTATAGCAAGAACTGATTCTCCTTAGTCTGGCCTCACATCCCATCTGTTTTAGCTCTTATGGCACCTATCATATCCTATTTTGTGCAATAAAGATGAACATACTTTATAACCTCTACTGCCAGTACTCCTTGAGTACAGGGCAGGGGTGGGCAACCTTTTTGTGAGTGCATGCCAAAACCAGCAAAATCTCTGACTCAAAATTCTTCTGCGTGCCAACCCTAACTTTTTGAGAACATGCTACGCCTACTTGATATCTCTTAAGGTGTACTTATGTGAAGAACCTTGAAGAAATAATAAAATTCATCCGAGCGACAAAAACACAGTATATGATGATGAAAAATACATTTATTTTTTAATGTATACATGTACACTGATAGTCTGACAGAAAACTTTCTGACTCTGTTTGATATTATCAGTGGGACTTTTGCTGCTGCATCACTGATGACAGATATTTCGTGACCTTCAGAGATATGCACGAGCTATTACTTTCATCCATCAGGCTACTCCTATTACGAGACTTAACAAAATTCATCACTGAGAACAAAGATTCACAAGCATATATGGATGAAAACATGGAGAGTAACCCTGTTGCAAAGTTTTTTAAACAGAAAAAATTTTCTGGAATGGCATTCCAAGTCCTCAATAGTTCATTTTCGACACTTCTCTCTGGTACTCCTGTCTCTAATCGTTTTTTTTCAATGTTTTCCAAGTCAACTCTAAGGTCAATAAATTTCTGCTTCCAAATTGAGCTACTCTGAAATTCAATCAACTGCATTTCGAAGTCAGCCATGTCCATGCATGAAAACATTTGTAAGTTTAGTTCCTGCAGTTTCATACTGTCTGGAAACCTCATGAATTTTGCTGTCTCTTCCAGTTCTCTGAATTTTGCAAATCTTGAGAAGAACTGCTCAATAGTTGACTCGATGATGTTTAAAAACAGCTTTTGAAGGCTTTGACAATCTGTTCTGTCATCTTTTGGGAGGTCTTTGATGTGCCTCTTGAGGTTTGGGAAATATCTAAATCTCTCACCATCCACATCCCTCTTAAAGACTTCCAATTTCTTTTCAAAAGCCTTTATGTAACCAAACATAACATCAAGTGTCTTGCCAGTTCCTTGTAATTTAACATTTAAGTCATTCAAATGTTCACAAAAATTGTAAATGGAAGATTATGAGAGGGTTTCACGTGCCAGCTAAAGTTACTGGTGTGTCAGTTTGGCACGCGTGCCAGGGGTTGCCCACCCTGGTATAGGGTCTTGGTTTTGCCTTCACCCTCACACCTAACACATTGCCTTGCATTAAATTATTGAATTAAATAATTTTAAAATGTATAGTGCACATCAGTAATATTTCTCATAGCTCCATATCAGCCAATTTCAATAAATAAAAGCATGTAACAATAGTAGCTATAATAGAAAGCTAGAAAAAACAACAACAAAGGTTTTAAGGGATTCCCCAGAATGCAAATAAAAGAACCAGACATTTACATTAGAGGATATAGCAGTGATTTTCAATTGAGAAAGGTCTAAATAGTGAATACTCTTCCTATTACAGATTCAAGAGAATCCTGAAACCCTGAATCTTGTCCCTATATGTCGTATAAAACATACAAATGGAAAGGCTGTTTCCCTGACAAGTAAACAAATCCTGACTCTGTCTTAACTCCCAGCTCTGCACTTGCTGCCTGTATCTGCTCCAAAAAGAGTGGAAAACTTTAGAAGCTGCCAGTATTCTTCAGAAAAGGCACAGAATTCTACGTTCCTGCTGGAAGGAAGAGGAGGGGGCAGTAAATCTCCTACCTGGGTTCCAATGTACTATCACAGATCTGAAACCCACTGCAATGGAAGATTGCTGACGAAACGGAGAGTTGAAAAAATATTTTTATATTGTTAAGTAGCAGCAGATCCTGTGGTTTCCAAATCCTCTCTCATTAGCAGTGTGGCAAAATATACTTCCTGGACTGTCCCTGGCTCACTGACAGAACAGGAGGGAAAGTTGGGGGGAGGGGACAGAGGCAAGGCTTCAAAACACAGGCAATCTCTCTTCCGCTCAATTCCAAGACAAGTTTCCCAACAACCTATCTATACTAAGCAGCTGTTTGAAATACTGGTCTCCCTCCCTAACTCTCCTTTTCAAATCTGTCCTTGCACTATAATTAAGCAGTTGATCCAGGAATGGATTTCATTAAGCCACTCCTCTCCTCTGAAAGATTCAGATCTCCTCTTTCCTTAGAGAATAAAGTCCAAATGTAATCTGTCAACAAGGGACTCTACAATCTGGCCACAACCTACCTTTAATCCTTTGTCTCTCTGCCTTTCTAGCATTTCATTCTTCCTTTTCTTTTGTATTCATTTAATTTACAAAGCATTTTCTCATGATCTAGTATAAATAAAGCCCTGTGAAGGTATGTCCTTTTAAAAAGTTATAACCATACATAATTTTGTTGATTTGACAAACATTTTTGAGCACCAATGTATCAAATACTGTGCTACAAATTGAGGATACCAAGAAACAGAATTTAATCCCTACTCTCTAGCAGTTTCTACTTTATTCCCCTTTGTAAATTCTCAGTCCAATAAAAATAACTCTAAATATACCACATTTTTGTTCTTCTGGGCCTTTGAACAAACTTTTCCCTGCCTGAAATATCCTCCTTCTTTCCTTTACAAAAACCCATTTCAAAACCTACCCCTCTGACCCTCTGCTCCCACTAGGAGTTACTACCACTGCCACAGAGATACTTTTAACATTTACATATCATGTTTTCCCAGCAAAGGTATGTAAGTGTATTTCAAGAAAGGAGTGGTTAAAATTGTCAGAAGGGAGAAAAAAAAGTATCTTAAACTATTCTGTATTTCCCACAGTGCCTAGCACAATATGATGCACAAAGATATTCAATATATATTTTGGCTTATAATCAGTGAAAAGTATAAACTTGAAAATTTTATTGAAATATTAGAAGTGTAAATTAAAGGGCAATGGTATGCCTACAAAAGCATATCTCCAGAGGTGAGATAATTATTCTTGTTTATGTGGATGGTACCAAAGACATCAAAATTTGATTTAAAAAAATAAGCCTTAATTAGGCATTCAGGAACTTTTGCCTTTTGTTCTGACCAGTAAACACATTTTTTCACTAAAAATCAGTTTCAGTCTTTTTTTCCCCCCAGTTTTATTTTTTTTCTTTATTAGGGTATTACATATGTGTCCTTACAGTTTCAGTCTTAATCATACCAAATAATCAAATCAATACTCTGAACCTGCACAGGGAAGAATCAGATGCTGAAGAATGGTAACACCATCAAGATATAACAAGTATATTATGAAATCTGTTCTGAAACATTCTGTTAGCCTTGGCTTTCACATTAATAATAAATGCTTAGGAAAGAAATAACTCAAGACTTCTAATGATGGGCCAGTATAGTCATCTTTGTATTTAGAACATTCAAGAACTCTATAAGGTAACAGAATAACTCAAAATCCAGGTGATAAGGCATATCAATTCAAATACAGTCTTCTGGCTGCATTTAATATTTAAAAATCCCATTTCTATTAGTTACTTCATTGACCTCCATTAGTGTACCCCTATAGAAACCTAATAATTTTCCCACTTCATAATAAACAATATTTTTAGAAAATGTTCTTACTGTTTTTAATCCTTCCTTGTATGAGTATTTATGCTATATGGTAAGTATATATACCTTCAAATAGTCATTTCATGAAATGAGAGTTTATTTTAACATTTACAAGGCAGCAAGGTAAACATGCTAACCACCTAAAAAATATCAAATTCCTTGTGGTATTGTTTATAAATATGTCCAAATTTGTGATTGCTTATATCAGCAAAGTATATATACAATAGATTAAATTATCTATGTTTTTAAAATATATGCTATGATTATTAAAAATCTGATTAATATAGTCATGACATATAATTATATAACATATTAGAAATTTGTAATAAAATCACAGCAGTACCTTCCAATAAAGGGAGAAATTATTTTAGCTAGATAAGTATTAGAGATCTGCTAGTCCAAATTCAATTTCTGAATTATAATAGGATTGAAATGACTCAACAGTCACCTTGTTGTTTACCCAATCTCTTTACATTTGGATCACTAATTTTATCCCATACCACACAATTGCTAATGCTTCTACTAAGTACAATTCATCAATATGGTTGTATAAAAAAAGCCAACTTGCCCTAACCGGTTTGGCTCAGTGGATAGAGTGTCAGCCTGCGGACTCAAGGGTCCCAGGTTCGATTCCTGTCAAGGGCATGTACCTTGGTTGTGGGCACATCCCCAGTAGGGAGTGTGCAGGAGGCAGCTGATCGATGTTTCTTACTCTCTATCCCTCTTCCTTCCTCTCTGTAAAAAATCAATAAAATTACTTTTCTTAAAAAGCCAACTCATATAAGGTCTGGTTATTTCTGGTTTTTATTTTAGCACAAGAAAATAATTTTAAACAAAAAAACTTTTATTAATCATGTATAATAACTAATAGTGAAATAATCAAATGATTATTTTAAATAGCAAGAGCACATATAGTTTTCTACATACTGAGAAACTGGACAAATCACATTTAGGTTTTAATTTTTTTTATAATACTAACCATGAAAAACATTTTAAAACTATCTCCAATGCCATCTTCTACTTAATTAAAATATTCCCCAAAAAAGTACAATATTGTTAAACATTATCAAATTAACTCATTGCATCCTCTTTTAGAAGTTGAAGACTAGTTTTTTAAAAAAAAGAATTAATAATAATTTAAATAACTTACACTTTTATACACTACACCAAAGAGTTGACCCTCAAAAGAAAACATATTAATATCCAGTTTAAAGCTCCCTTTAAGTCTAGAAAAGAAATTCAAGGTGTTTCCCCTTCTATGTTTAAGGTATACATTTTCCACAGCTTTCAGAGCACAAATGTCATTCTTTCCTTACAACAATAATGGGTTTAAATTATCAGCTTATTTTAAGTACACAACTTTTAACTGTGTAGTGTATTTGCAATAACTGTAAATCTCTGTCTCAGGAGCTCTCTTTTTTGTACTAGAAAGTTTTCAATAGTATTGGCTTCTTTGAAGAGTCCTTCTATCTCGTCGATATAAGAAGCATCTACTGCTGCTCTCTCACTAATGGGGAAAAAAGGTTAATGTTAGACTAAATAGTTATAACATCAAAAACACTATCATAGTGATGTTCTCTTTTATGCTATATTTTTTAGCTATTTCATTTAAATAGCTTTGAACATCAGAAAGCTTCAATAATTTACAAACACTTTGATACAAGTTATATTAATCTCACAAATATTTTTGACTACTCAAATTCTCCTGACACAGCAGAATGTGTACCTTATACATTATAATTCTAATATCAAACTATATGCAGTCATGCTTCACTTAACGACAGGTATATGTTTTCAGAAATGTGTCTTCAGGTGATTTGATCATGTGTGAACATCACAGAGTACACTTATACAAACCTAGACAATAGATAGCCTAGTACACACCTAGGCTATGCAGTATATTCTATTGCTCCTACTCTACAAGCCTGTACAGCATATTACTGTACTGAATACTATAGGGAATTATGACACAAAGGTAAGCATTTATCTAAACATTAAAAAGGTAAATACACCATATAAAAAATTTTTAAATGGTACACCTGTATAGAGCACTTACCATGAACAGAGTTTACAGAACTGAAAGTTGCTCTCGTGCGTGGTGGTGAGTGAATGTGAGGCCTAGGGCATTCACTACTATAGGCTTTATAAACACTGTCCCACAAGCCCTCCCCGCTACTGATCAGGAACAGAACAAGGAAGCTGCCAGTGCTACTCCATGAACAGGAATGTGGGCTGGATTGACTGAAATTATCAAGGAGAAACTGGCTTGGCAAGGTGTAAATCACCATAATAGTGACTACCAGGAGGGACTGAAAGGTGGCCTGAGGGTCAGCAGGAATAAAAAATCAAGATGGAATGATACAGGAGCACAGGGGATAGTCATGGCAACTGCATGTTGGAGTAGTGGTCATATTAAGGAACTCTGTGATACTCTGTTTGTTTTTAAAAGAGCATGTTTAGCCGAAGCCGGTTTGGCTCAGTGGATAGAGCATCGGCCTGCGGACTGAAGGGTCCCAGGTTCGATTCCGGTCAGGGGCATGTACCTGGGTTGCGGGCACATCCCCAGTGGGAGATGTGCAGGAGGCAGCTGATCGATGTTTCTCTCTCATCGATGTTTCTAGCTCTCTATCTCTCTCCCTTCCTCTCTGTAAAGGTTCAGTGAACTATATTAAAAAAAAAAAAAAAAAAAAAAAGAGCATGTTTAATATGGAGAGGATATAGAACTGAGGACTCAATATTTTTAGTTCCATTGACTTCTTCTGACATAAAGAACTCTCTTTGGCACTGAATTGATGGAAGACAAAGTTTATCTATGTTTACATCATTATAACCTGAAAATATTCCCAAAGTACAGGGATAGGCTGCCTCCATACTGCCACAGAAAATTTTCACTAACGTGACAGTGGCACTTAATATTTAAGATGGCTCCCAGAGAACTGTGTCATTTTATAGGATCTTAGGTTTCCAACAAAGAATTTACAGCAAAGTACTCTGAAGACTATAAACCTACATCTGGGAGGACTATAGCACCCTCTGAATATGTAGCGCTGGAACAGGGGGAACAGGCTCCTCTGTGCTGAATCAGGCAGTGCCTGACTGATTGGGATATACTCTGTGCACTCAAAATTGAGGTGCCATGGCCCTGGCCTGGTAGCTCAGCTGGTTAGATCATACACCAAGGTTGTGGGTTTGATCCCCAGTCAGGGCATATACAAGAATCACCATAACTAAGTGGAACAGCAAATCGATGTTTCTCTCCTCTCTCTTCTCTCTCTCTCTCAATCTCTCTCCACATAATTAATCAATAAAAAGTGATTGATTTTTTTTTTTAATTGAGGTTCTGTCAGTGACAGGGAATCTATTGCCAAGCCCCACAGATACTGGGCCCATCTGAGGAAAAATAATCCCTCCTGAGCCACATATTCTTTCATTTCTTACAGGAAATTCTGCTCCATTAGAATTTTATGGGACCATTGTCGTACTTATGATCTATTGTTGACCGAAACATTATATGGTACATGATTACACATTATTTTAACAGCCACACAACCATTATTTAAATACAATGACTGTCCCGTAGTTTTTTAAAAAAACACCTTACAGCCCTGGCTGGTGTGGCTCAGTTGGTTGGGCACCATCCCATGCAGTGAAGGGTTGCCAGTTCTATTCCCAGTCAGGCCACATGCCCAGGGTTTCGGGCTTGATCCCTGGTAGGGGTCATACAGGAGGCAGTTGATTGATGTTTTGCTCTCACATCGACATTCCCCTCTCTCTCTCTCTCCCTCTCCCTTCCTTGCTTTCTAAAAAATCTTTTAAAAAAGAATAAATACATAAATTTAAAAATACCTTATAAAACATGATAATCTCAGATCAATAAAATATTAAAATTCATCCTTCAAATACATATGGATATTTAAATATTTCATAAATATATTTATTTATCTTTAATATCACTCCATTTTTATCATTAACTTCACCAAATGGTAGTTTTCTCAAAGAGGTTTTATCATAAAATTTTAAATGTTATATCATTTAATTAGAAACCAAAATATATCCAGCCTAGTATTCGTAGTGGTAATAGCAAAACAGGATACTTAGTGAAAAAGTTAGGCTCCTGCCAGTGTCCTCAGTGGTTAGAGTGTCAGCCCATGCACTGAAGGGTCTCAGGGTTTGATTCCTGGTCAATGCACGCACCTCGGTTGCAGGTTAGATCCCCCAGCCTGTCAGGGCGTATGCGGGAAGCAACCAATCCATGAATCTCTCTCACATCAATGTTTCTCTTTTCTCACTTATTTCTCTCCCCTCTCTCCCTCTCTTCCACTCTCTCTAAAAATCAATGGAAAAAATACCCTTGGGTGAGAACTAAGGACAACAAAAAAGTTGGGGTTATTCTTTGAAAATAACAAACTAAATTATTATAAGAAATTGAGGTCGAATTTAAAAATTCCAAAATTATAGTAACTGGATAGGTTCTGCAGTCACTGAACATAAAGTTCCCATATGGAATTTCCTGAAGAAAACTTCTAAGATCAAGACTCAAAAATATAAGTACTTACCTTAAAATCTTTGCATATGTAGACAACATTAGATTAATTTCCTTGCTCATATCTATTAAAAAAACACTGAGTTATGAAATATAACAAAGCTTCTGTATTATAAAAATAAGTATATAGAAATATAAGCATTTTATACAACACCATTCAAATCTTTCTCCAGGGATTCATCTTTATCAAATAGTCCAGAGCTTTCAGAGAAAGAGGAATCTGATTTTCCAAGAGAAGACAGTTGTGGACTATCTGGCATTTGAGGCTAATACAAGAAAGTAAAAGAAAATAGGTAAACAGTTAACAGGATCCTTAGGATATATACATTCTATTTTTTTAAAAGCAAATAAAACACCTTTCATAAAAAAAGGAAACATGCTAGAAACTATATGCTCTTGTCATTTGTTAATTATATTTGAAATTAAATGCTAATTAGTTTGAAATTTTATTACCAAGGAAACTTTTAGTCCCAACAAGCACCTGGTTCAATATACTAAATTTTATTTTTACTTTTTTGAATATGTTATTAACCCCCTGATGAAAAAGTTTCCTGTACCTTGAACCAGTAGATGTTTCCATAGCTATATAGTAAACTTTCCATTTAGACAATAGCCAAATGCTTGAAAATTTTTGCAAGATAACAATGTCCCAAATGCAAACATCAATTGGTGGAAACAGTAGTGAAGAAAGGCAGAATAGTGTTCTAATTTTAAAAGATCAGCAACTCCAGCAAAATAAGTATTTGAAGTCCTAGATATCATAAAGATATGAACCCACTTGTGCCTCTAGATACAAATTACCACGAAGAAATCTCCTGATAGTTTCTTGGAGGTTTCCCCATATACTTAGTAAAAAAGCAGCTGGAGTCAATATAGTTCCTGCTGGGACAATCCCAGCTCTGGGAATACGAAAACTTAAATTCCATTTATCAACAGAACTTTCTTAAATGGAAGATATTTGAGAAGTATATAAAATAAAGTATTAAGGCTCTGGGAGCATAGAGATTACCTCCAACTCTCTTGGTCTCTTGCAATTTCTAGTATCAGGTTTTACAAGGTGATTTGCCATCATAACCTGGAGGCAAGAGCTGCAAAATTTTGAGCAACACCAAACTTAAGTACAAACTCCAAGCTACACACACAGATCTCTTGAATCTTCCCACCCACTGCCACTGTTCATTTAGGCTCTCATTACCGGTCACTTACCTAAACTTCACAATCTCTCCTTTCTCTAAGTCATCCTACCAACTGCTGTTTGGGCAGTCTTTCAAAACTGATTACCATACTCCCTGAACTTTCAAAACGGTAATTACTGCATTCCCTTATCTCAAAAAACGTGTCCTTGCGTACTCATTGCTCCAGAATAAGTTCAAATTCCATCCAAAGTCCTACATCACCTGGGGCTAACCTACCATTCCCCTGATTTTCGTTGACTCCCTCTGTGTACAGTCAGCCAAACTGGTGTCTGGCACTTCCGCCTCGTTTCCGGATTCATCTAAGATGCTTCTACCTTCACAATGTCTCAGTGTCCAAGCAGATATCATTGCTCATCTGAGTCTATCTCATCTCTGACAGACATGAAAACCGGGGCGAAGACAGCTGACCAACCTCAACCAGGTAAAACTGGGACTGGACCAGATCTCTTCTAGCCTGAGGTCACTTCCATGGTCTTCTTCTGTTTTCATAGAGCATCAAATTTTACCTCTAAGTAACTTTTCTACTAGTTCTGAAGATAATTTCCCTATGTATCCGAAAGATTATGTTGACTAAAGAAAAACTGTTGAAGCCTAAAATGGTATAGTCCCTACATCTCAAGTCATCAATGTACAGCATTTAGCTTGATTTCGAGAAAGTATGCTGATGTGGATAACTGTAATCGGCTTGACTAGTCACATATAATCTTCATTTATATAAGCCAGCAACAACTAGTAATAAATATGTCTGTTCGGTGAATTCCCTACAATGCTGCCGCCTTCCTGCCAGCCTCCAGTCAACAGGCCTCGGCGCCACCACAGCAACACGCAGAAAATACCACTGAGCCCCGCTTCCTGCCAGCTTCCGGTTCCTGCCAGCCTCGCCTCAGCGCCACCTCAGCAACACGCAAAAAATACCACCGGGGCACCGCTTCCTGCCAGCTTCCCGCTAACAGGCCTCGGTGCCACCTCAGCAACACGCAGAAAATACCACTGGGCCCCGGTTCCTGTCAGTCTCCGGTCAACAGGCCTCGGTGCCACCACAATAACACGCAGAAAATACCACCGAGCCCCGCTTCCTGCCAGCTTCCGGTTCCTGCCAGCCTCGCCTCAGCGCCACCTCAGCAACACGCAAAAAATACCACCGGGGCACCGCTTCCTGCCAGCTTCCCGCTAACAGGCCTCGGTGCCACCTCAGCAACACGCAGAAAATACCACCGGCCCCGCAGGCTCCGCCCGGGAGTCTGAGGACTCCCAGAAGCCCACTGACAGTGGTTCTCCTCCTCCTTCCCCTTTATCCTCCCTTTCCTCTTCCACCTCTTCTCTCCTCCCTCAGAGTAACTGCACGCGCACGCTTGTCAACTGAAAACTTTACAACTAGGTCATTCTCCTTCTGGAGAAAATGAATGTCCTGTCACCACACAGGGACGGCCTCGGCGGGTGACAGGCGTTCGAGGCCTGGGCCCGCTGTGCAGTCTAAGGCCGCCTCACACGCCCTGTCTTCCCGGCCTCCTCTTCTCCTCAGGCCGCCTCTCAGCCTCCTGCTTCACTTCCCGCCCCTCTCCCCTCCCTCCTGGCGAGACCCCCGGGAGGCCGCACCCTCTCCCCTGCCCTCCCACAAGCACAGGCCGCCATCCCGCCAGCCCCGCCCAAACCAGTCCACCGGGTGCCCAGGACCTCTCCGCGCCAGCTGCTCTCCCGCCAGCAGCTGCCAGACCACGGGAAACAGAGCCCCGGTCGCGAGTGCGCAGACTCCGTGGGCGGTGGGAGCTGGGCGTTCCCGGCAGTCAGCGCGTGCCAGTCACGTGACCGGCAGCCACCGCCTCTGGAGCCCGGCTAGCAGGGCGCTCAGTCACCGAAAGAGGCTTTTTCCCTCCGCTCCTCTCCCACTCATCCCTTCGACATGGAATCTCCATAAAACGAAGATCTCTGCCCGCTTTCCACTGTGAGGAAGAAGAGACAAATCTGAGACTGTTCTCCCCTAAAAGAACATGGAAGAATTGTCAGAACCAGGCCAGACTGTGCCCAGCCGCCTGAGTCGCAGTAAAGGAGCACAAAACAGGACACCCACCGCCACGTTCACATCCGATTCCAGGTGGTTGGGGTGACGGAAGGGTTTATACTGAGTTCCCCTGGCTGCGAGCAAGACTTCTTGACCAGAGCCTTCATCCCTTGACCCCTTTTTCTTTGGGGCAACAGAACTTCGAGAATCACGGGATCTTCGGAAATCACTTTCTTGGTGTGTAAACGAGTTTAGTTCACTTAATTGACAGCTTTCAAAAATATATATTTTGTAGCATGCATGACCCACATCCTTGAAGCTTAGTCTATTGGGCGCTTTAATGTGGCGACTTTGCCCTGCAATTTCAAAGATAGGCATTCTAAACATGCCCAGTTAGCTGATGTGGAAGGGGAAAAAAGGATATCAGCTCGTAAAACAAAGGTCACTGACAACCTCCCCCCCCATAAATTCCGGGTGCCCGATCTTACACCTGTCAAAATTTATGGCCCACGCTTTACCCTGGACTGGCAGGGAGGACTTGCAGGAGGAGTCCTCGCCTCCTGTGTCTTCAACAAGCCCTGCAGGAAGAGCTGTGTTTGTTTACCGCAGAACTCCATGGCACTGGCAGCCCCTCGCGTGACTTCCTCTTCCCCTCGGTCAAGTACCTCCTCTTCTTTTAAAAAAAAAATATATATATATTTCTTTATGGATTTCAGAGAGGAAGGAAGAAGGAGAGAGACATAGAAACATCAATGATAAGAGAGAATCATTGATTGGCTGCCTCCTGCACGCCCCCTACTGGGGATCAAGCCCACAACCTGGGCATGTGCCCTTGGTCGGAATCGAACCTGGGACCCTTCAGTCCGCAGGCGGAGGCTCTATCCACTGAGCCAAACCGGCTAGGGCTATCTCCTCTTCTTCATCCGGGCGACAAGCTCCGTGGTGAGCCATGGCTGCGCGTTTGGGATTGTGACCTTTCTTTTTCCTGAATAAATACTTTTCTGTGAGGGGATACCGACCCGACTTTTGTTAATAATTGACACACCTTGGCAAATTATATTTAACACATACATTTTCATGTTTTCCCCCTTTGGCTTATTTAAATGGTAGTTGTCATACAGACTTGTCAGTATTACGTGTATGTTTGTTTGTTGGCTGTCTGTGGGAAAGCCAGTTGTTTTAAATAAGTTCCTAGAACACACACACTCAATGTGTCTAACTTTATTTGCTAATATTGTGAAATATCAGTCACTCAGTAAAACTAGGCTACATAAGGGTGGTGCAGTCACTGACAGTCTTGAAAGGATCCCAATCATCGTCTGAGAGCTGATAACCACCTACGTTGAAATTTTCCCCATCTGTGGTAAAGTGAGGAAAAAAGTAATGAAAATCCCATAAAGCCAATGTATTTACTTTAAAGAATTGCCATTTATTCTAACACTATGTCCTTCCTAATGTTTTTTGGTGTTAAAGTGTCCTTTCAGCCAAAACCGGTTTGGCTCAGTGGGTAGAGCGTTGGCCTGCGGACTGAAGGGTCCCAGGTTCGATTCCGGTCAAGGGCATGTACTTGGGTTGCGGGCACATCCCCAGTGGGAGATGTGCAGGAGGCAGCTGATCGATGTTTCTCTCTCATCGATGTTTCTAACTCTCTATCTCTCTCCCTTCCTCTCTGTAAAAAATCAATAAAATATATATATTTTTAAAAAGTGTCCTTTCATGAACTAATCTTAAACTTAATAAAATTTAATGTCCTTATTTAAAATATAAACTTATGCACTCAGCATTTATCTCTTCTTCATTATTATAATTATTGTTATTATTATTATTATGGTCCATTAAATCCCAAAGTGTGGAAAATACTGATCTAATTCCTCTCCCAGCTTTCACAGTGTATGATCTCTAAACAGGTAGTTAGCTAGTTCTTAAAATATTTCCAGGAAAAAATTATTCTACCTAATACATAAATGTCTACATCAGATTAAGAGAACACTATGGACATTTTATTTTACTTTTAAAATCTTGTCTCCATTGCATAAGCTAAATGAGTACAAATAAGTGAGAGGGTGTGGAGGGTTATAGTTTTCCAGTGGTTTAAAATATTCAAAGGGCTACCATCATCTCATTTAATCTTCACAAACAACCCTATGAAGTAGGTAGAACATTTGGGTTACTCTGTAAAATATAAAAATTTTTAAAAAATGTGTGTCCCAAAACTAAGAAATAGGTTGTTATGCATTCTACATTGTTACAGTTGGAGAAAGGTAATTGGCAATAAGTCATTTAAAATTAACTTGTTTGGTCCTCTGCTACTGATCATTGTTTGACTCCACTTCATACTTTCATGTTGACTGGCCCAATTGGACATTACAGTTGGAGGATGAAAACTCGTTATCTCAATGTCAATCATATGTGCATTCTTATCATACACTCCTCTCTTTTTTTATCATACACTTCTTAAATGTGCACTTTTTTCTTCTGATAACCACCACACCAAGTACCTCCCATCATCCTGCCATAGACTTATTTTGTAATCACTACTGTGGGCATGATGTTTTTATGATCTTATAAAATTAAAACACTCTTGTTGAAAACCAAACCAACAAACAAAATATAAAACTAGCTGCTAATGTAAGCATTTTTTTTTTCCTAACTCTAGAACCCCTCTGTTTCCTTATAGTCTCTGTACTGGCAAAAAAGCAAAAACCAAAAGTCACTTTGCTAAATTCCTTGCTAGCAAGGTAGTATGATTTAGCATATGTTCAAGAAAAAAAAAATTGTCTAAAAAGCTTTGTTTCTACTAATTATTTCCAAGACTGTGATATTTACATTTTGCTTCTCAAAAGTTATGTTTTAGGTGCTATAATTACATTACATGAATTATTCTAATAGGGCTAATTATTCAGCACTGTTTAAGAAAGTTTTGTGCTGAAGTACGAGAAGAAAGTCTCAAACAGATTAAGTGAAAAAGATGCTTTCAATTGACAGATGGTTTTTCTAAAGTTAGTTGGATATATACTTCAGAAAGAGGGACAAACTTTAAGCAGTCAGAACTCCAATTTTTACAGAAGAAATTATTTCATTAAAATAATGGTGGTACATTAAAAAAAAATACCCACATTCTTTGACAATTTATTTCAAGTTCTATTGCCCTAAGAGAGAGCCCACAGTTAAAGGCGGGTCCAAGACGTGCCAAGTCTCCTCCCTCCAATTTTCTTCCTCGTTCCTCCCTCTTCCTCTGAAGCGCTGGCACGAATGAGCAGCGAGGCGTGTGGTTCTCAATGCTTTTTGCATTCCCCCGCTGCCTGCTGAAGAGGCTATCACTTTCTACACAGCCTCCTGAAAAGAGAGAGACCTGAAACCGTCCAGACCACTTCTTCGTCCAGGAAAGGATTGAGCACAGGTAAGCAATAATCATTCCTCTTTCTTTGGAAACCCAGGCAGGGCGATTAGGGGTAAATAAGCTAGGAAAGCGATAGAGAGAAATTTAAGTGTTCTGACATTGTTTTGATGGGCAGTCAGTAACAACACAAGGAATATAGCAAAGCCAGAGTTGAAACTTTTTCTCTCTCTTTTAGCAAGCAGTGGAGAGTACCACTTTAGAGCAAATATTCTCAAACTTTTTGGTCTCCTGATTTCTTTACATATCTATAAATTCTTAAGGACCCTGAAGTATTTTTCTTTCTCTAGGTCATTTACTGTATTACTGTCATTTACAGTCTTTCAATTAAAACTGAGAAATTTTAAAAATAGTGACCTATTAATTTATTTTAAAATAACAAAAAGCCATCACATGTTAGCATAAATAACATTTTAAATTTTAGATCACTAAAAAAAATTACTATCAAGAGTGACATTGTTTTTTATTTTTACAAATCTCTTTAATGTCTGCCTTAATCGAAGACAGCTGCATTCTCATCTGCTTCTGGTGCAATCTCTGTAATATCAGACAGAATGTAGCTCCTGGTAGACTCCATTGTATACTCCTGAGAGAATGGCGATGAAAAAGACAAATTACATGTTAGAATTACTGTGGTAATAACTTTGACCTCATGAACCACCTGAGAGCTGCTGCTTTAGAATGACAACATAGATAAGCTTTTCTTTAAAGGGAGTCTCAGCTCTGGATCAATTATTTTAAAAGCAAACACAAAATTTGCCAAAGGTTGAGCATCTTGATGGAAGCTGCCCCAGCACCTTTAGGCTGGGCAACAGTTGGACAATATACAATTCCCCAGAA